CCCAGCAGAAGGACACTTGCTGTTGAAAGATGTATAGCACTAATTAGAAATACATAACATCCGGCCACATGGCAGCCTTCTCCCGGCCGCTCCATTTCCTGATTTCATACAACTTTGACGACAGTTGGTTTATGTTTTCCATGAATATGTTCTCAGAAAAATAAGAATGTCTCCCTATTACATAGGAGCAAGAAGAATATTTCTGCCTGAGCAGGTATTTGGCCACAGAAGTTGTGGGAGCTCCGGTCACTTGCCCATCTTAGAGCATGTGGGAAGGGGCAGAACCAAGTTTAGACCTCAGGTGACTTTCTGGGTAAGAAATATTTCTGTCTGACTTTCTTAGCCAAAACCATCCCCCTAAGCCCTTGAGCAAGCCTGCTTTTGGAAAGAAGGGGAAAGGCTGTTTCACAATGTTAATGAGTTCCTCAGCTCATGTCTCCTGCTACCTGACACAAAGCCAGAGGAACCCAGGCAAATACCAAGGCAAACAATGCTTTTTCCTTCCCCACCCTACATCACTTGTTGGCCTGGCCCAGCCCAGCTCTACAGATATATGTGGACCTTAGTCTGACTGGGGCTTGTTTCCTAGGTTTAGCTCCAAAGTGGGTGGACTCTGGGAATCTTGATGCTGTTTTCCTATATATTTGCATAAGAACAAATAATTCTCAAGGAGTGACATCTTACAGCTTTTAGCCCACAGAAGCCTAGGTGAGGTAGCATCTCCTGACGATCATAGCATTTAATGTATTTCTCATTGGAGGTACTAGGTCTGAATTGCCACAGCTACTTGGGTAAATAACTTTTTTTTTTTTTACATAGTTGAAAGGTCCAAAGGTTTATTTGTAGCTGTGTTCTCCACAAAACCCAGCACGGGGTCAAATATCATAGATGTTCAGTCTGTGCTTATACCACTGAGCCGTGGAGGGCAGGCATTCCAGAAAGTGCTCTATATGACATGGTCAGTCAGAAGGCTGACCGAGACCCAGACATTCTGAACGCCAGATCGTTGTGATATCACCACCTGCATGGTGAGAGCAGAATGGCTTGCTGGTTTATACTTCCCCATCAGTTGGACTGTAACACAGCAGGGAATGCTGTCAGGCCCTTCACAGGAAGGCAAGAAGGGGGAGAAAGGTAGAGGTGACATAACCATGGCCAAAAACATAACAGTCATGAAGCTGCCTTTCAGCTGCTCTTCTGAGAGGTGGTTGATCCCTTGCCAGACCAACAGCAAAAAGAGGCTACAATTGTTCCTATCCCACCTAGTCCCCAGACCTTATTACAGGAGGCTTTAAAAAAAAAAACAGTTAAACTCCCAGAGCCCACAAGTGTCATCGTTCTTAAGCAGTTTATTCTCCTTCCCCTTGAGCCCTAGCACCAACTTTGCACTCTGAGGAATAGGCTAGCCTGAGATTGCCGTTTGTCATAAAAATAGAAATAGACGTGATGAATGTAATCTCCCTCTGTGCCATCTTATCCTTATTTATGCTGAGAGTGTCCTTTGGTCATCTTGTACTTCTCAAATGCCAGTCTCTTGGAGCTAAGACATCCCTTCTTCCCTTCTAAACGCCTTCTGTATTCAGGTAACTTCTGCCCAACATGCCCAGATGATGAGGGGACACTGGTGTCAGCTACCAGGATGTTGCCTCCATTCATCCTGTCTTAGCTTCCTCTGTTGTTCTGGACTTATTCTCCCACTCTGCGCTTTGTTGCTAACTAGAGGCAGACTGCTGGCAGGGCATGGCAGGAGTCTGGGCTGAGCTGGTACAGAGTGCTGCTGACTATAGTATGGGGTGGAGGGGAGCAGTTGGCAACTTTTCTTGGGATGGCTTACACATTCCCTCTCTACTTTCCACCCTCCTTCCTTTTGGTTCTTGGATGCTTGTTTTCTTGCAGAGGTTTAAGGCCTTATCAATAAGAAGAAGAATGAGAGTAGTGATCTGTTTGAATCCCATGGGTTGTTACCACTTCCTTACTGCCTGCCACAGTTGAGGTGGAAAGTTAGAGGGTGTCATTTAAGACCAGTGGGTATCTGGAAGGATGGCAGGAAAGCCACATAGAAGAATTGCTACACTGATGCTATTCATATGTTGTGACCTTCTGAGCAGCAGCCTGTTCCTTCTCACTCCGAGGGCTTTCTAAAGTGGTTTGGGGCTGGCTTTGTATACACCAATTGTGTTTTCTCCTGTGGTCAAGGCAGTTAGGAATAACTGTGGTTATATATCATTTCCTGGAGTAAAGACTTCATTTAGGCCCCATTGACAAGACTAGTGTCAATGAGGAGAGAGGCGAGAGGGCTCCCCCTTGGCTATTGAGGTTCACATGCAGGCAGGGCCTGAGATCAGACTTGTGGCTAATTATCCTTTTAATACTTAGAGATTCTGAGTGTTCTCTTATGTTACAGAGGGAATTAACAGATTAGCTGCTCCCAGAGTGAATGAACCTGGCCCCAGATTCCATCTCTTATGCCTCCTGGGTGTCTGCTTCTCTGAGGCTCAGACTGGACTGCTGCCTTCTGTTTGTCACTGAGTCCCTCTCAAGTCTGGATGAAGTGGCTGTCAGGGAGGGCCACTGACAAGGAGTAGGAGTAGGTACAGGCAGGGATTTGAGAGTGTATATGTAGCTCCTGCTGAAGCATAGCCCTGGCCGCCACCGAGGTGGTTCCTTTCACTGACCTGCAGCCAGAAGGAAGTCAGCCTGAGAGAGTGAGGCAGAGAAGTGCTATCACTGGGAGCCAGGTTTATATTTTAGCCCTAGGGAAAAATTTGTGAAAATAAAAGCTAACTCTGATTACATGCTTATTATGTGCCGTGCTTTGTTCTATATAAAATGAACTCATTCAGTGAAAATAGGTTACTTGTAAGTCAGGAGTAAGAAGAGGTAATGATAGAGCCAGAAGTTG